AGATGATACCAAGCTGGGAGGGGTTGCGACTAATCTGGAGGATAGGGTCATAATTCAAAATAACCTGGACAAATTGGAGAAATGGTCTGAGGTAAATAGGATGAAGTTTAATAAAGACAAATGCAAAGTGTTCCACTTAGGAAGGAACAATCAGTTTCATACATACAGAACGGGAAGCGACTGTCTGGGAAGGAGTACGGCAGAAAGGGATCTAGGGGTTATACTGGACCACAAGTTGAATATGAGTCAGCAATGTGATGCTGTTGCAAAGCAAGCAAACATGATTCTGGGATGCATTGAATTAGGTTTGTTTAGTTTAGAAAAGAGAAGATTGAACGGGGACATGATCGCATTTTTCAGGTATCTAAAAGGGTGTCATAAGGAGGAGGGAGAAAACTTGTTCATCTTGGCCTCTGGGGATAGAACGAGAAGCAATGGGCTTAAACTGCAGCAAGGGAGGTTTAGGTTGGACATTAGGAAAAAGTTCCTAACTGTCAGGGTAGTCAAACACTGGAATAAATTGCCCAGGGAGGTTGTGGAATCTCTATCTCTGGAGATATTTAAGAGTAGGTGAGATAAATGTCTATCAGGGATGGTCAGTATTTGGTCCTGCCATGAAGGCAGGGGACTGGACTCGATGATCTCTCGAGGTCCTTTCCAGTCCTATGAGTCTATGTGTTTTATAACTTATGAATAATAAGAAAAGCACATTAAATGTCTATTGTATAATTGCATTTTGGCTAATACTGTTGGTCTGATGCTTTATTCCTTGTGTACCCAGCTTTCTCAGTTAAGATATGGTGCACAAACTATTCAAGATCAGATTCTTTTTTTATACATTTTCAGTCAATGCCTTGCAACCACTATTACAAAAAAAAAAAAAAGTCATTGCTTCCTGGCACACTTTTTTTTTTTTTTTTTTAAATACAGTAGAGTCCGGATTATCCAACCTTTGGTAATCCGACATTCCGCTTTATCTGACCCTGCAGCTCCTGGGGACAAAGCGGTGCTGGCAGGAGCGGCATTAGTGGCTCCAGGGCACGGGCCGGGAGAATGGCCCCGCTCGCTGCCTGGTCGCTCTCTAGGAGCCGCTGATGCTGCTCCTGCCAGTGCTGCTTCATCCCTGGGAGCTGCAGGGTTTTAAAAAGAGCAGGCAGGGAGAATGGCCCCGCTC